CCCGCCTCCACCCCCACTCTACCTGCTGGGCCCTCACCCCGGAGAACACGCCCCCTCTTTGCCAGCCCCCAACGGATCAAGTTCCTGTAGAAGCTGAAGGCCAATCTGAACAGCCACACATTTTCCCTCCCCAACCTTCCCCAGCGCTGGTTTCACAAAACTAGAGTCCCTTTCCTCTCTCACCTCTCCCCACGCCCTGGACCTCACTCCCCAGCATCAGGGCCATGCCCCACTTCCCTCCTTTCCCCCCCTCTCCTCCCTGGACCCCTCTCCCAGCTGACACACCAGCCTTGTCCCGAAAGCAAACAAAACAGAGGGAGGACATGACCGTTCTCCCAACCTCACTTCTGAAGCTCCCGTCAGCTTTCCCCGACATGAACACAATGCTTCTACTTCCCTGGTTTTCCCCGACAGACGTGGACGTGGAGGGAATGCTCATCGCTGTCACACGCCATGCCCTCTGGGGCCGCTGGATCTAGGGGTCCGCCCTCAGCACTAAGGCCGGTTCTCTAAGGATGACTCGTCGCTCCCAGCAGGCGGATTTCTTGGCCTGTGTCAGGCCTCATGCTGTCCCTCTCCACAGCACTCTCGGCGGCTGGTGATGCTCTAAAACGTCCCGCTGTCCGTTCTGTTCCCTGGTCCCCTGATGTTCACCTTGTCCTCAGCTTCCCCGTCTCTTAATCGTACGTTCCCACACATCTGGGCTGAGTTTATTTTACGTAAGTTCATACTCCCTATGGTTCCAAGTTGGGTGTTTACGCATCTCAATCTCCTTCCACTAATTCCTCAGCCCACCCGCTTCCATCATCCCCCGAGGAACCAGCGGCCCTCCTGTCCCCATTTTACTCGACTCCTCAGCGGATGGAGACACCAGTGACCAGCCTGCTCCCTGCCTTCTCCTTCCACAACACGCCGTGCCCTCGCTCCCCCCCGCCCCGCATCCTCCCGCTCATGGCACTGCCCCTCTCACTCTGCCTCTCTCCAGCTCCAGGGCACGGACACGGAGGCCCACGCAGCGGCCTCTCGCCTCCGCCGCCGTGACCGGCAGGCATGTGCACGCGTGTCTGGTAGCAGCGTGGTCACAACCACTGCTAACCCATCCTTAGCGGAAGTGGCATAAATGAGGACTCGGTGTTCTTTGGGAAATTAAGGTTACTGGCTTCACAGGTGTGAGCACTGGCCTTGGGATGGAACAAATGGTTGTGAGCATTCCGCTGTTTAACTGTCTAGTACCCACAGCTCGTGTTTATCATCAGGACCCTGCTTTTAAAAGAACACCCGCCTGGTAAAGTCCGCTTCTTAGAGCAAGGGCGTTATAATGTATTTTAGAAAGATTTCTGTCCACAGAAGGTTTAAAACTGTGAAGTTCTAGGGATTCACCCTCAATGACTTCCCTTTTGGACAAAACGAGTCTGGCTGAGCGCCATCATGTAAAAGCTGGCACTGCCCCTGAGAGAGAGGAGGGGGGCCTCCCGCATGGCCTTTGAAGCATAAATCGGTTCATATTCTGGGATGTACCTCCAGCAATTAAGCAGTAAAAATATTTCAGTCCAAGTCTAACCAGACTAGAAATGTCTCAAAAACACATCCGAGGAAAATGAAATCTACCCTGGGTGTTATTTTAACACCCGGCTTCCGGGATGTAAAGTGAACAGCCTGCCCTGGTGACAGGTAGATCACGGGCGTCAGACGGCCACAGTGAGGAGGGGAGCGTGGCCAGGCGGACAGAGGCATCAGGGGGCCGATGGTGGGGAGCATCGCCAGGACAGGACGCAGCGCTGAGGCGACTGCTGAGGCTTACCTGCGGTGGGGGAGTTGGCGTGGTGCGACTTTTTTGGCAGGTTGAAGATCTGTTCGCCAGGGTCGGGGGGAGGAATTGCATCTTGCCCTTGTCGTGCTTCTACGGGGTCGTACTCCTTGCCGTAGTAGTTCGCGTCATAGAACTTCTTGAACCACTGGATGAAGTCCAGGTTGTCCTGGAAGCGCCCTTTCACTAGCTTCTCCACTGGAATCACCTGCAACAGAAGATCCTGTGAGTCGCCAGCCCAGGGCTCGCTTGTGGCTGATACAACTGCAGCGGCCCCTCCATGTAACTGTTCCCACATGTCTGCCCCTCATGACCACTGGCCTCTCCCCCAGCTTCCTAGCCAGCCCTGGTCTAGAATTCGTCATTTTTCACCATATTGAAAAAACAACAACACACCTACAATGTTGTAGTTGGGCCCGGCTGGCGTGGCTCAGTGATTGAGCATCAACCTATGAACCGGGAGGTCACAGTTTGATTTCCAGTCAGGGCACATGCCTGGGTTGCAGGCTCAATCCTCAGTGTGGGGTGTGCAGGAGGCAGCCAACCAATGATTCTCTCTCATCATTGATGTTTCTATCTCTCTCTCCTCCCTTCTTCTCTGAAATCAATAAAAATATATTTTAAAAATATTGTAGTTGGTTTTCTTGGAATTATTTAACATTTCTGAACACCCTGACTAAACAAGGAATACCCTCAGCCAATAGGGGCCGATCCTCTTTATAGTGTGTTTATGCCAGAGCATCTCCCCCAAATCACGGGCCTGGGATGTTGTGCTGCTTCAAGTCTGATGGATTTTCCTTATTTCTTTGTAGCATTTGGTCCAGTTGTGTTGGAATAAACGCTTACAAGGATTATAGCTGCTAGAGAGTGTGAGTACATAGACTCAAATCACTGTAAACACACACCAGCCTAATGGTCCAAGTGAGCCTGCGTAGGGCTTGCTAAGACTATAGAGCGAGAGGCACCAAAACAACTAACCACCCAGTGCAGGGCCCAGTAATTCTTGGGGTGCATGGGAGCACAGCTAACATGCCGTGGAAGGAATGGGGCTGGCTAGGGAAGTCCCGGAAGGCAGCCTGGAGGAGGTGCGAGCATTAACCTCAACTTCTGAGACGAACCTCAGCTCTTCCTTTCCTATCGGCAACCTGCAGGGCCAGGCAGTGTTCCCCTCGGAGCTCTCACGGGAGCCTGGGTTCTACGCCAGGAAGTGTGTGGCGTGACTGCTTCGCTTCCATGCAGTGGCAGCTACTTCTAAAGGGAATGGAAGGTGCGGAGTTGTCCAAACTGCACCATTACCAGAGTCTTACTTCTCACCTGTGGGTTGGAATACCAGCCGAGCGTGAGCCCTGAGAGCTATAGAGCTGGGGGGCGAGTCAGGTTGTGTGTACGAATGTGTGTGAGTGTGAATTCAGACAAACCCAGTGCTCATAGAACGCAGCGTCACTGCCATGGTACCAGCAGGAACTGTATAAACTACCTTTCCAGCAGGACTGTGCCACCTCAGGAGAGATGTACCATTGGTATCCTATGGACCATGAGGGCCACTTTAAAAAAGTAGGGAGACCTCAAAGACCCATGACAGATTGAAAAAGGGACCGGAGCATTTTAGGGCATCCGTTAAACTCAATTCTTCGCAAAACATAGTTTCAGAGATGATTTTTATGCAGCTAAAACGGAAAGTAAGTCAACTACAGAACAAAACACAGAGAAGCAAGCTTCCGCAGGAGCCACGTTTTCCATGAAGGCTCCTCCGGGGATGGAGACTCGATGCCGAATCTCTTCTCTCCCCAGACCTCAGGGACGTCGGCCCCCACAGGCACTCAGCCGGCTCTTCATTGTGCCATTTAAAGATTCTCATGTCTCCTGATTTATAGGTTCTGTCTGTGCTGCTATTGATTGTTTAAGAAAGTGCCTCCCTCGTGCAGAGGGCCTTTAATTAACACGCTGTACATTCTGCTTTCTGCCGAACAGGAACATCGATGAACAGACTTAGATGATGGTGCCCACTGGCCATTACAGGGCGCACTCACTTCCGCTGGCTTAACTCTGCAACCCCTGCAAAGTGCAGGCTCTGGGCAGATGTGCACAGGGGCCGCGTCTCTCCAAGGGCCTCTGGGTGGAATCACAGCACGTGAAGCGGGCGGGGCCAGCAAAGGCCATGGAGGCCAGCCTTCCTCCACTACCAGCGCCTCATCTTCAACACTCCTGACAATGGCTCATCCGCTCTGTGTGTCTGTGCTTCTGGAGAGCTAGGGGCCCTGCTTGGGTAGAGAGCACGCTCCATCAGTAAACCTATAAAAGGGCGTTTCTTTCAGACTAGAAGCAGCTGCTGAAAAGTGAGAGAAGACGTGGGGGACGCTGCTAATGAGGAAGGAGAACCTGCACGGCCCTGGCTCTGAAGGAGCGAACTGGAGAGGAACCACAGCAAAGGACGGAAAAACGAAGCTGAAAAGCATTAGGCAGGTTAAGATGTTAAAGAGAATATGTTTTGAAATGAAAATTCTGAGAAAAGGAAAACTAAGATTTTAATAATCGTTTGATAAGAATGTTTTTATTTAGAAAGGCATTAATTGCATTAAATTGAAAATATCTTCGATTTGCCAAACCTTTCTCTTTTCCCTTATTTAACTTCTATTTCTTAATAATCCAGGACTTTAGTTTTTATTTCCATAGCCTATTTATTGCTATTATCTATGCAGAGAAAAGTTTTGCATTTCTCCCCTGCTGGCTTATTTATTTTCTCTTATTCGAAATTAATTTCTTTCCAAGCCTGTTCTCTCTAAGAGACAGATCCTAAGGAAATAATATGGTTGCACTGCATAGGTTTGTGAATGGAGGAAACGTATAGACTGCATGGACTTCAGCAATCGTCTTTTGGGGGGGGGGGCACCCAGTCTACCTCCATTTGTATCACTCTAGGACAAAATTATAAAATCCAAAGGGAAAAAAGGACAATTTATGGACAAGGATGGAGAATCTGCGTGTATATACCGTGCTGGACATTTTCACGCGTTCCCTCACTTGAGCTTCATATAACCACAGGGAAAGGGGTTTTAGTCCTATTTTATAGATGGGTAAACGGAGACTCAGAGAATCTACACTAATAAAGGACAAAGATGGGACTGTGAGAGGGCCCAGGTCGGGCTGAGGGACGCCCCCAACCCCAGCCAGTGCACAAATTTTTGTGCACCAGGCCTCTAGTTTGAGTATAATTTGCTCAGCCCATGTTGCTTCCATGGTAACCACTGTTTCTCTAAAGGAACAAAATACACAAATAACCACAGTGGCACCTGGCAAACATAAACCCTTGTTACTTTCGATGCTAAAGCAGATTCAACACTGCAATTTCTATGAGGGTTTTTAGTCTAATGGCTCCATGTTTAGGAATCTCCTTAATTAAAAGCCTCATACGAATGTGGGAGGTTAGGGTTGATGCCCTGTGCTTTGTACAGACCCCAACCTCCTGCTAGGAGAGCCAGAGGTCCATGGTTGCCCACTGTACCTTCCTACACAGAATCAATGTTAGGGAAGGAAAGTGCATTGAATGGAGGTGCACCTGAGTCTCCTACCTTATCCACATTCATCCGCTTGAAGGACGCCTGCAGGAGTTTGAAATTGTGAATGTACTCGTGCTCCAACTTCGCCTGGAATTTTACTTTCTTCAAACTGATGCAGCCGGGAAAGAGCATGTCCATGAACTGGCAGTAGGCGGCGCCTGGGGAGACAAGAAAAGCGCGGGGTGAGTCTCCCCACCTGTCCCCGGTGCCACTGGGGATGCTGGGCAGGAGGGGCTGTCATCACCTGCAGCCTCCTGGCCCTGCACGCTCCCCCCGCCCCCCCGCCCCCAGCTGCCCTCTTGGTCCCAGACCTGGGTGTGGGCGGGAAGGGACGGTGCCCATAGCATCGCCAGGGGTCATGGACAGTGCGCACAGCCTCAGACCCTCATGTCAAGGAAACTGGGTAAGACAGCTCTGCTCAGCTCCCACCAGAAACAACGGCGCCCTATTTTTTCTATCATCCAGCTCCAAGTCATCAACTACATCAATGTAAGATAAAAATAGCAGGCATTTTAACACGAGGCAACGACTAAGGTGCTCACGAGATGGGCAGCTCAGGAAATACACACAGGCCACACAGTTTACACCGTTTCACCAAGGGGCTCAGGTGAAACGCTAACCAAGCCACTGCACACCAGAGCAGGTGCAGCCCGTTCAATCCAGGCCAGGCCAGGCCACGGGGCTCCCACAGGACACGGAGGAGGGCGACTCTGAAGCCCACAGAGGCCCAGAGTCACGCTGCTCTGACCGAGGAACAGAAGTCACAGAAACGCGCAGTCTCCTGAGGAAATGGTCGTAGGAAAAAGGTTTACCAGGAAGGCTCTGATTTTCTAAAGTGAACTTTAGACCATGACAATTCCAACTAGAAAGTCCTGGCCAGGTTCTGTTGACTCATCTGGATATTCTTTATGGTCCAGTCGAAGGGTGCTGAGAAGGAGAAATTCAGAGCCAGAATGGTCCTTTCTCTTTAATGAGGAGGCAAGCGCGAGGCGTCGTTGCTGCTCTCTCCTCTGCTTCCCCAGGTCTCGGGGGGAGAGGGAGGGAGTGCTCCTGGGATGTGCCGGGATGGGCCCTTCTGGAACACGAAGGCTCCTTTCACCCTTGGTACCAGGGTTTCTGTGCAAAGCCTTCCCTCCTCGGGCCACTCACCTTTACCGAGAAGACCCCACTGGGTTCCCATGTCAGACGGGTGCTGAGCCTCCCTTATTGGGACAGGAATCCAAGGTAAGAGGGAAGAGGCTACCAGGCCTGACTTAGGCCAAGGGCTGCCAGACCGAAAGGGCGG